TCATATGTGTTTTTGAGATCACTGTACCTCGTATGTGTCATTGAGGTCACTGTTGGTCCTGTGTGTCATTGAGGTCACTGCACGTCCTATGTGTCATTGAGGTCACTAAACGTCCTATGTGTCATTGAAGTCACTGTTGGTCCTGTGTGTCATTGAGGTCACTGTACGACCTGTGTGTCATTGAGATCACTATACATTCTGTGTCATTGAGATCACTGTACGTCGTATGTCATTGATATCACTGTACACCCTTTGTGTCATTGAGATCACTGTACGTCCTATGTGTCATTGAGAGCACTGTAAGTCGTATTTGTCATTGAGATCACTGTACCTCCTATGTGTCACTGAGATCACTGTACGTCCTATGTGTCATTGAGATCACTGTGCGTCGTATTTGTCATTGACATCACTGTACGTCCTATGTGTCATTGAGAGCACTGTACGTCGTATTTGTCATTGAGATCACTGTACCTCCTATGTGTCACTGAGATCACTGTACGTCCTATGTGTCATTGAGATCACTGTACGTCCTATGTGTCACTGAGATCACTGTACGTCCCATGTGTCATTGAGATCACTGTACGTCCTATGTGTCACTGAGATCACTGTACGTCCTATGTGTCATTGAGATCACTGTACGTCGTATTTGTCATTGAGATCACTGTACGTCCTATGTGTCACTGAGATCACTGTACGTCGTATTTGTCATTGAGATCACTGTACGTCCTATGTGTCACTGAGATCACTGTACGACCTATGTGTCACTGAGATCACTGTACGTCGTATTTGTCATTGAGATCACTGTACGTCCAATGTGTAATTCAGATCACTGTACGTCCTTTGTGTCACTGAGATCACTGTACGTCCTATGTGTCATTGCGATCACTGTACGTCGTATGTCACTGATATCACTGTACGTCCTGTGTGTCATTGAAATCACTGTACGTCGTATGTAATTGATATCACTGTACTTCGTATGTGTCATTGAGATCACTATACGTCCTGTGTGTCATTGAGATCACTGTACGTCCTGTGTGTTACTGAGATCACTGTACGTCGTATTTGTCATTGAGATCACTGTACGTCCTATGTGTCATTGAGATCACTGTGCGTCGTATTTGTCATTGAGATCACTGTTCCTCCTATGTGTCACTGAGATCACTGTAAGTCCTATGTGTCATTGAGATCACTGTACGTCCTATGTGTACTGAGATCACTGTATGTCCTATGTGTCATTGAGATCACTGTAAGTCGTATTTGTCATTGAGATCACTGTACGTCCTATGTGTCACTGAGATAACTGTACGTCGTATTTGTCATTGAGATCACTGTACGTCCTATGTGTCACTGAGATCACTGTACGTCCCATGTGTCACTGAGATCACTGTACGTCCTATGTGTCACTGAGATCACTGTACGTCCTATGTGTCACTGAGATCACTGTACGTCGTATTTGTCATTGAGATCACTGTACGTCCTATGTGTCACTGAGATCACTGTACGTCGTATTTGTCATTGAGATCACTGTACGTCCTATGTGTCACTGAGTTCACTGTACGTCCTATGTGTCATTGAGATCACTTTACGTCGTATGTCATTGAGATCACTGTACGTCCTGTGTGTCATTGAGATCACTGTACGTCGTATGTCATTGAGATCCCTGTACGTCCTATGTGTCATTGAGATCACTTTACGTCGTATGTAATTGATATCACTGTACGTCCCATGTGTCACTGAGATCACCGTACGTCCTGTGTGTCATTGAGATCACTGTACGTCGTATGTCATTGAGATCACTGTACGTCCCATGTGTCACTGAGATCACCGTACGTCCTGTGTGTCATTGAGATCACTGTACGGCATATGTGTAATTGAGATCACTGTACGTCCTGTGTGTCATTGAGATCACTGTACGTCGTATGTCATTGAGATCACTGTACGTCCCATGTGTCACTGAGATCACCGTACGTCCTGTGTGTCATTGAGATCACTGTACGGCATATGTGTCATTGAGATCACTGTACGTCCTGTGTGTCATTGAGATCACTGTACGTCCTTTGTGTCATTGAAATCACTGTACGTCGTATGTAATTGATATCACTGTACTTCGTCTGTGTCATTGAGATCACTGTACGTCCTTTGTGTGACTGAGATCACTGTACGCCTTATGTAGCATTGACATCACTGTACACCCTTTGTGTCATTGAGATCACTGTACTTCGTATGTGTCATTGAGATCACTGTACGTCCTGTGTGTCATTGAGATCACTGTACGTCCTTTGTGTCATTGAAATCACTGTACGTCGTATGTAATTGATATCACTGTACTTCGTCTGTGTCATTGAGATCACTGTACGTCCTTTGTGTGACTGAGATCACTGTACGCCTTATGTAGCATTGACATCACTGTACACCCTTTGTGTCATTGAGATCACTGTACTTCGTCTGTGTCATTGAGATCACTGTACATCATATGTGTTTTTGAGATCACTGTACCTCGTATGTGTCATTGAGGTCACTGTTGGTCCTGTGTGTCATTGAGGTCACTGCAAGTCCTATGTGTCATTGAGGTCACTGTTGGTCCTGTGTGTCATTGAGGTCACTGCACGTCCTATGTGTCACTGAGATCACTGTACGTCGTATTTGTCATTGAGATCACTCTACGTCCTATGTGTCACTGAGATCACTGTATGTCGTATTTGTCATTGAGATCACTGTACGTCCTATGTGTCACTGAGATCACTGTACGTCCTATGTGTCATTGAGATCACTTTACGTCGTATTTGTCATTGAGATCACTGTACGTCCTGTGTGTCATTGAGATCACTGTACGTCGTATTTGTCATTGAGATCACTGTTCGTCCTATGTGTCACTGAGATCACTGTACGTCGTATTTGTCATTGAGATCACTGTACGTCCAATGTGTCATTGAGATCACTGTACGTCCTATGTGTCATTGAGACCACTGTACGTCCTTTGTGTCATTGAGATCACTGTACGTCCTGTGTGTCATTGAGATCACTGTACGGCATATGTGTCATTGAGAACACTGTACGTCCTATGTGTCATTGAGATTACTGTAGGTCGTATGTGTCATTGAGATCACTGCCCGTTCTATGTGTAATTAAGGTCACTGTTTGCCTTGTCTGAGATCTCCAGCATGCATCAGACAGAGGCCGCGTCCTGGTGGGACTATCCGTGATGTTTTCTCTCTAATTACCGACGGGGCACGCTGAAATCAATCAGCGCATTTCCTCCCGATACGATCAAACGATGATTCTTGGTCATCGATCTGGGGACTATCGTACTATCGCCAGCAATGACAAAAACAGAGACATAGACCGGCAAAGTAAGTGTTGTAGTGTACGTGATTGTAACCTGCTACTATGTAGATAGTGTTGTAGTGCACGTGAATGTAATCTGCTACTTTGTAGATAGTGTTGTAGTGTACGTGATTGTAACCTGCTACTTTGTAGATAGTGTTGTAGTGTACGTGAATGTAACCTGCTACTATGTAGACAGTGTTGTAGTGTACGTGAATGTAACCTGCTACTATGTAGATAGTGTTGTAGTGTACGTGAATGTAACCTGCTACTTTGTAGATAGTGTTGTAGTGCACGTGAATGTAATCTGCTTCTTTGTAGATAGTGTTGTAGTGTACGTGATTGTAACCTGCTACTATGTAGATAGTGTTGTAGTGTACGTGAATGTAACCTGCTACTATGTAGATAGTGTTGTAGTGTACGTGAATGTAACCTGCTACTTTGTAGATAGTGTTGTAGTGCACGTGAATGTAATCTGCTTCTTTGTAGATAGTGTTGTAGTGTACGTGATTGTAACCTGCTACTATGTAGATAGTGTTGTAGTGTACGTGAATGTAACCTGCTACTATGTAGACAGTGTTGTAGTGTACGTGAATGTAACCTGCTACTATGTAGACAGTGTTGTAGCGTACGTGAATGTAACCTGCTACTATGTAGATAGTGTTGTAGTGTACGTGAATGTAACCTGCTACTATGTAGACAGTGTTGTAGCGTACGTGAATGTAACCTGCTACTATGTAGATAGTGTTGTAGCGTACGTGAATGTAACCTGCTACTATGTAGACAGTGTTGTAGCGAACGTGAATGTAACCTGCTACTATGTAGACAGTGTTGTAGCGTACGTGAATGTAACCTGCTACTATGTAGATAGTGTTGTAGTGTACGTGAATGTAACCTGCTACTATGTAGACAGTGTTGTAGTGTACGTGAATGTAACCTGCTACTATGTAGATAGTGTTGTAGCGTACGTGAATGTAACCTGCTACTATGTAGACAGTGTTGTAGCGTACGTGAATGTAACCTGCTACTATGTAGATAGTGTTGTAGTGTACGTGAATGTAACCTGCTACTATGTAGACAGTGTTGTAGCGTACGTGAATGTAACCTGCTACTATGTAGACAGTGTTGTAGCGTACGTGAATGTAACCTGCTACTATGTAGATAGTGTTGTAGTGTACGTGAATGTAACCTGCTAGTGTATGGCATCGTGGGATTACAAGAGTTGCTGTGGCGTACGTACTTCCACTGATATCAACACGGCGAGTTAGTCATTTTTGGCATGGAGATATAATAGAGTAGCTATGGCGTACGTAAGCAACTGTAACAACACATCGATTCAGCCAAGAAGCCACGGTTGAGTCATATCATTCAGGCTTTGCCTGCGCATCTAGATCTGCACCTACTATTGTTAAATCAAATTGAGCGTCATTGTATATACAAGTCAGTTTGTCTGGTTATACATGAAAATCACACTGCAGACAGTATTCCTTAACGCTTCAGTACAGCAAGGGAGGTGGGGGTGGGTGGGAGGAGGGGGGTGGATGGTTGGGGAGGCGTGGGACAACACGGAAGTTGGTGTGAAATGGGTTTGTTTCCTGCCAAGAGAACTGCCGTTCCTTCAGTGCAATTGTTTATCCGCTATTAGTTGTGAGAGAAATGTACAGGATTATACTCACAACCTTGCCCTCTTGTCCGCCTCAACCCATTGGCGCGGGACGATCAGCGAGCCACACACTGCCCTCGGTTCATCAAGCTGCACGTGCAATCCTCGCTAGCTCCATGGGCCACGTCCTGACCGGGCGGGTCACGCGACCGCTCTAGTGTCCAGCTGACCACCTACAGGTGAAGGGGGAGGGGGGACGGTCGGGTTTGCTAGGGCGGCGTCTCTGACTCCAACATTCCGACTCCACCAGCAGCGTGATAATGATCAGCTACTCTCTCCCAAGCTGTAAAAACAGGTTTTCTTCTTCCTTCGTCCAACTTAGTTCCCGAAGCAGAAATTTAATCAGAACAAGCATGTCAATTTTATCGATCTGTTACAAACGTGAAGGATGGTAGTCACTACGCGAGCAAGACGCTTAGCGAGCGTACATCGACAGTCAGAGTAGAGAACCGACACGCACTGGTCGTTCCCGTCTAGTATTTCAAGTGTAAAACTCCAGAGGAAATACACAGCAACATCCCTCTTCCCTCCCCATCCTACCAGCCAGGTCCTGTCTTACCATCTCAGCACGCCATGCATAATTAATACTTTTCTTCCACAACGGCGGTGGGATTCCACAAGGCTAGGCAGTCGATAATGTGATAAGGTTCATTTCATTAGAGCCAAGGGCGGGGACTGCGGGGCCTAGTTGTTCGTTTATTCAACCCGATGTCAGTTGACACGGCATGAGTACACGGTGCGGGAACACGGCCCTGTGTGGAGAGGATGGGTAGCTGGGACCAGGTGGTGCCCGCCGTGTTTGGGGGATGTAGGACTGGGGGGATGTAGGACTGGGCGGGATGAGTCATGCCTGTTCAACTCTACCTGGCATCCATGGACGTCTGGACGGGTCAATCCGACCTTCCAGGTCATCGGGGTTTACATCCGACTCTTCACACACACATGTACTGTTAACTCACAGCTACAACCAGAGACTCCAGTCACACACACATGTACTGTTAACTCACAGCTCCAACCAGAGACTCCAGTCACACACACAAACATGTACTGTTAACTCACAGCTACAACCAGAGACTCCAGTCACACACACATGTACAGTTAACTCACAGCTACAACCAGAGACTCCAGTCACACACACACACACACACACACACACACACACATGTACTGTTCACTCACAGCTACAACCAGAGACTCCAGTCACACACACACATGTACTGTTAACTCACAGCTCCAACCAGAGACTCCAGTCACACACACATGTACTGTTAAGTCAGGTACAACCAGAGACTCCAGTCACACACACATGTACTGTTACCTCACAGCTCCAACCAGAGACACAAGCCACACACACATGTACTGTTAAGTCAGGTACAACCAGAGACTCCAGTCACACACATGTACTGTTACCTCACAGCTACAACCAGAGACTCCAGTCACACACACATGTACTGTTAACTCACAGCTACAACCAGAGACTCCATTCACACACACACACATGTACTGTTACCTCACAGCTACACCCAGAGACTCCAGTCATACACACACACACATGTACTGTTAACTCACAGCTACAACCAGAGACTCCAGTCACACACACACACACATGTACTGTTAACTCACAGCTACAACCAGAGACTCCAGTCACACACACATGTACTGTTACCTCACAGCTACAACCAGAGACTCCAGTCACACACACATGTACTGTTACCTCACAGCTACAACCAGAGACTCCAGTCACACACACACACACATGTACTGTTAACTCACAGCTACAACCAGAGACTCCAGTCACACACACGTGTACTGTTAACTCAGGTACAACCAGAGACTCCAGTCACACACACATGTACTGTTACCTCACAGCTACAACCAGATACTCCAGCCACACACACGTGTACTGTTAACTCACAGCTACAACCAGAGACTCCATTCACACACACACACATGTACTGTTACCTCACAGCTACACCCAGAGACTCCAGTCACACACACACACACATGTACTGTTAACTCACAGCTACAACCAGAGACTCCAGTCACACACACACACACATGTACTGTTAACTCACAGCTACAACCAGAGACTCCAGTCACACACACATGTACTGTTACCTCACAGCTACAACCAGAGACTCCAGTCACACACACATGTACTGTTACCTCACAGCTACAACCAGAGACTCCAGTCACACACACACACACATGTACTGTTAACTCACAGCTACAACCAGAGACTCCAGTCACACACACGTGTACTGTTAACTCAGGTACAACCAGAGACTCCAGTCACACACACATGTACTGTTACCTCACAGCTACAACCAGATACTCCAGCCACACACACGTGTACTGTTACCTCACAGCTACAACCAGAGACTCCAGTCACAAACACACACATGTACTGTTACCTCACAGCTACAACCAGATACTCCAGTCACACACACGTGTACTGTTACCTCACAGCTACAACCAGAGACTCCAGTCACACACACACACGTGTACTGTTACCTCACAGCTACAACCAGAGACTCCAGTCACACACACATGTACTGTTAACTCACAGCTACAACCAGAGACTCCAGTCACACACACATGTACTTTAAACTCACAGCTACAACCATATAGTGACATGATATATACACGTGTATTGTTATAGCAACATTATGTATACACATGTATTGTTATAACGACATGATATATACACGTGTATGGTTATAGTGAAATGATAAATACACATGTATTGTTATAGCGACATGATATATACACGTGTATTGTTATAGCGACATGATATATACACGTGTATTGTTATAGTGAAATGATATATACACGTGTATTGTTGTAGTGACATGATATATACACGTGTATTGTTATAGTGAAATGATATATAACGGGTATTGTTATAGTGACATGATATATACACGTGTATTGTTACAACTAGAAGACAATTATGTAGCAGCATATATCTGTTGTTGATTAAATGTTGCGCGGTGATCAGCAGGACTCAATATACACATCGATAGTCATTCTGATTTGGACAAATGAGACTTAGATATAGATACATACATATTCCTCATTGTCCGGCGAGACGATCTATAACGTGTATTCATTATTTGATTGAAAGCTGCTTGTTGACAGCGATGACTTGAACCTTGTTGTGCAGACCACCGTCTACAGCCACTGTCACATCATACATACCACAGTTGTTACAGGCAGTGGGTAACCCCACACTCAGCAGTATTCCAGCTATATAACGACGGTCTGTAAATAATCCAGTCTGGACCAGACAATCCAGTGATTGATATCATGAGCATCGATTGGGCAATTGGGAGACAATTACATGCACCTACAAAGTCAGCGAGACTGACCACCTGATCCCTTAATCGCCTTTTAAGACAGGCATAGTCACCACGCAACTAGTAGTAGTAGTAGTAAAAAATAGCAGACAGAAGGAACAAAGTTCGACGAGTTACTCCCCTTTTTCAGCTTTGGCCTGTTATCTGAAGGATTCATGTCCTTGTTGACAACTAGTAGACACCTGGTAGATATATAGCAGACACCATTAGACGCTTGGTAGATATCTGGCAGACACCTAGTTGACACCCTGTAGATATCTGGCAGACAGCTAGTGGACACCTGGTAGATATCTGGCAGACACCTACTAGACACCTGGTAGATATATGGCAGACACCTAGTTGACATCTGGTAGATATCTGGCAGACACCTAGTTGACACCTGTTAGATATCTGGCAGACAACTAGTGGACACCTGGTAGATATATAGCAGACACCTAGTTGACATATGGTAGATATATGGCAGACACCTGGCAGACACCTGGTAGATATCTGGCAGACACCTGGTAGATATCTGGCAGACACCTGGTAGACACCTGGTAGATATATAGCAGACACCTAGTTGACATATGGTAGATATATAGCAGACACCTAGTTGACATATGGTAGATATATAGCAGACACCTAGTTGACATATGGTAGATATATAGCAGACACCTAGTTGACATCTGGTAGATATCTGGCAGACACCTAGTTGACACCTGGTAGATATCTGGCAGACAACTAGGGGACACCTGGTAGATATATAGCAGACATCTAGTTGACACCTGGTAGATATATAGCAGACACCTAGTTGACATATGGTAGATATATGGCAGACACCTGGTAGATATCTGGCAGACACCTGGTAGACACCTGGTAATTATCTAGCAGACACCTAGAAGACACCTGGTAGATATCTGGCAGACACTTAGTTGACACCTGGTAGATATCTGGCAGACACCTAGTAGACACCTTGTAGATTTCTGACAGACACCTGGTAGACACCTGGTAGATATCTGGCAGACGACTGGTAGACACCTAGTAGATATCTCGCAGACACCTAGTAGACACTTGGTAGATATCTGGTTGACATTTGGTAGACACCTGGTAGATATCTGGTAGACATTTGGTAGACACCTGGTAGATATCTGGTAGACATTTGGCAGACAGCTGGTAGCCATCTGGCAGACACCTAGTAGATATCTGGCAGAAACCTAGTAGACACCTGGTAGATATCTAGCAGACACCTAGTAGACACTTGGTAGATATATGGCAGCCATCTTGTAGACACTTGGTAGATATCTGGAAGACAACTAGTAGACACCTGGTAGATATCTCGCAGACACCTAGTAGACACTTGGTAGATATCTGGTAGACATTTGGTAGACACCTGGTAGATAGCTGGTAGACATTTGGTAGACACCTGGTAGACACCTGGTTGATATATCGCAGACACCTAGTAGACACTTGGTAGATATCTGGTAGACATTTGGTAGACACCTGGTAGATATCTGGTAGACATTTGGCAGACAGCTGGTGGCCATCTGGCAGACACCTAGTAGATATCTGGCAGACACCTAGTAGATATCTGGCAGAAACCTAGTAGATATCTGGCAGACACCTAGTAGACACCTGGTAGATATCTGGCAGACGACTAGTAGACACCTGGTAGATATCTAGCAGACACCTAGTAGACACCTGGTTGATATCTCGCAGACACCTAGTAGACACTTGGTAGATATATGGTAGACATTTGGTAGACACCTGGTAGATATCTGGTAGACATTTGGCAGACAGCTAGTAGCCATCTGGCAGACACCTAGTAGATATCTGGCATACACCTAGTAGACACCTGGTAGATATCTGGCAGACAACTAGTAGACACCTGGTAGATATCTAGCAGACACCTAGCAGACACTTGGTAGATATCTGGTAGACATCTAGTTGACATCTAGCAGACACGTGGTATATTTCTTATATAGACTGATTTTTCCGAAGTTGAGAAAGGCGATATTTTCATTGCAGTGAACATAACACTTGATAATTCACTGCAGTGAACATAACACTTGATATTTCACTGCAGTGAACATAACTCTTTGACGGAACTATTGTCGTACAAGAGTTACCTCCCATTAAGTAGGGAGTTGTCTCCCTTTATCGTAAGTGACTAGCCCGGATACAAACTGTTGACGTCCTTTTTACGTTGGGTCCACATTGACAAGGCAAAATAATGATAGACGGTCGTTTATGGAGGTAATATCACTTCTTGCCATTTGTTATTCTCTCGAAAATGTTTCCTTAGAAACTGTAAATTTCTCATTGAACTCGTCAATCGAGACTGTTCGTTTCGCAAAGTGCCATTTTTGTTACTTGACCAGCGTGTATTCTCTAGCTTCCAACAGCAGTCTCTTAATTTTCAAGAATATTTTGGGTTACAGTTTATTTTGTATATAATCATATCTGAATGTATGATGAAGAATTTTCGTGACCCTCAATATTTTTTGATACTTTTGTTTATATTTTTGTACGATTTTGCAAACACGAAACTACTTTATAAGTCGCAAATACAAGGGGTGATGGACCGTCCCTGTCTGTTATGTAGGGGGAATTTACGTTTCAAGGTTTTACATTTGTAATGAAATAATTTAATTTTCTGGTAGACGACTACACAAAAAAGTATATAATAAATAGGATACACACAAAGTAGATATCTTGTGGGTCACTGTTAGACATCTGGTAGATCACTGCTAGACATCTGGTAGATCACTGTTAGACATCTGGTAGATGACTATTAGACACCTGGTAGATCACTATTAGACATCTGGTAGATCACTGTTAGAAACCTGGTAGATTACTGTTAGACATCTGGTAGATCACTATTAGACACCTGGTAGATCACTGTCAGACACCTGGTAGATCACTATTAGACATCTGGTAGATCACTATTAGACACCTGGTAGACCACTGTCAGACACCTGGTAGACCACTGTCAGACACCTGGTAGATCACTGTCAGACATCTGGTAGATCACTGTTAGACATCTGGTAGATCGCTGTCAGACACCTGGTAGATCACTATTAGACATCTTGTAGATCACTATTAGACACCTGGTAGATCACTATTAGACACCTGGTAGACCACTGTCAGACACCTGGTAGATCATTATTAGACACCTGGTAGATCACTATTAGACACCTGGTAGATCACTATTAGACACCTGGTAGATCACTATCAGACACCTGGTAGATCACTATTAGACACCTGGTAGATCACTATTAGACACCTGGTAGATCACTGTTAGACATCTGGTAAATCACTGTTAGACACCTGGTAGATCACTATTAGATATCTGGTAGACACTATCAGACATCTGGTAGATAACTGTCAGACATCTGGTAGACACTATTAGACATCTGGTAGATAACTGTCAGACATCTGGTAGACACTATTAGACATCTGGTAGATAACTGTCAGACATCTGGTAGACACTATTAGACATCTGGTAGATAACTGTCAGGCATCTGGTAGACACTATCAGACATCTGGTAGATAACTGTCAGACATTTGGTAGACACGATTAGACATCTGGTAGATAACTGTCATACATCTGGTAGACACTATTAGACATCTTGTAGATAACTGTCAGGCATCTGGTAGACACCTAGTAGACATCTGGTAGATAACTGTCAGGCATCTGGTAGACACTATTAGACATCTGGTAGATAACTGTCAGACATCTGGTAGACACCTAGTAGACATCTGGTAGATAACTGTCAGACATCTGGTAGACATCTATTAGACATCTGGTAGATAACTGTCAGACACCTGGTAGACCACTGTCAGACACCTGGTAGATCACTGTCAGACATCTGGTAGATCACTGTCAGACACCTGGTAGATCACTATTAGACATCTGGTAGATCACTATTAGACACCTGGTAGACCACTGTCAGACACCTGGTAGACCACTGTCAGACACCTGGTAGATCACTGTCAGACATCTGGTAGATCACTGTTAGACATCTGGTAGATCACTGTCAGACACCTGGTAGATCACTATTAGACATCTGGTAGATCACTATTAGACACCTGGTAGATCACTATTAGACACCTGGTAGACCACTGTCAGACACCTGGTAGATCATTATTAGACACCTGGTAGATCACTATTAGACACCTGGTAGATCACTATTAGACACCTGGTAGATCACTATCAGACACCTGGTAGATCACTATTAGACACCTGGTAGATCACTATTAGACACCTGGTAGATCACTGTTAGACATCTGGTAAATCACTGTTAGACACCTGGTAGATCACTATTAGATATCTGGTAGACACTATCAGACATCTGGTAGATAACTGTCAGACATCTGGTAGACACTATTAGACATCTGGTAGATAACTGTCAGACATCTGGTAGACACTATTAGACATCTGGTAGATAACTGTCAGACATCTGGTAGACACTATTAGACATCTGGTAGATAACTGTCAGGCATCTGGTAGACACTATCAGACATCTGGTAGATAACTGTCAGACATTTGGTAGACACGATTAGACATCTGGTAGATAACTGTCATACATCTGGTAGACACTATTAGACATCTGGTAGATAACTGTCAGGCATCTGGTAGACACCTAGTAGACATCTGGTAGATAACTGTCAGGCATCTGGTAGACACTATTAGACATCTGGTAGATAACTGTCAGACATCTGGTAGACACCTAGTAGACATCTGGTAGATAACTGTCAGACATCTGGTAGACACCTATTAGACATCTGGTAGATAACTGTCAGGCATCTGGTAGACACCTAGTAGACATCTGGTAGATAACTGTCAGACATCTGGTAGACACCTAGTAGACATCTGGTAGATAACTGTCAGACATCTGGTAGATAGACATCTGGTAGACATCGGGCAGACACCTGGTAGACATCTGGTAGATACTGTCAGACATCTGGTAGACACGTAGTAGACATCTGGTAGATAACTGTCAGACATCTGGTAAACACCTAGTAGACATCTGGTAGATAGACATCTGGTAGACATCGGGCAGACACCTGGTAGATATTTGGCAGACATCTTGTAGACATTTGGCAAAAGTGTAACAGGGAGATAAGTTGTTACAGTCAGCAATATCCTCATTGACCTAGCTGATACGCGTCATCGTATCCTGACTGTACGGGATGTTACTTAAAAAATCAATCACTGATTTATATGATCCGGCCTTAATTATGACTCCCGTGAAAAAGCTGGAACAATTCTGATGTTTCAACCACAAATACATAAGCAGCAGCATTAGTGGTATCAGCAGTTGTAGTAGGAGGAGGAAGGGAGAAGGATGAGCAGCAGCAGCAGCAGCAGCAGCAGATGTGGAGGTGAAGAGAAGGAGGTGGAGGGAAGAAGTAGGAGCAGTAGTAGTAGTAGTAGTAGTAGTAGTAGTAGTAGTAAAGGTAGTAGTAGTAGTAGTAGTTAAGGTAGTAGTAGTAAGAGGAGGTGTGGGGAGAGAGAGGAGGAGGTGGAGGTAGTAGTAGTAGTAGTAGTAGTAGTAGTAAAGGTAGTAGTAGTAAAGGTAGTAGTTGTAGTAGTAGTAGTAGTAGTAGTAGTAAAGGTAGTTGTAGTAAAGGTAGTAGTAGTAGTAGTAGTAGTAGTAGTAAAGGTAGTAGTAGTAGTAGTAGTAGTAGTAGTAGTAAAGGTAGTTGTAGTAAGAGGAGGTGTGGGGAGAGAGAGGAGGAGGTGGAGGTAGTAGTAGTAGTAGTAGTAGTAGTAGTAGTAGTAGTAGTAGTAGTAGTAAAGGTAGTAGTAGTGGTAGTAGTAGTAAAGGTAGTAGTAGTAGTAGCAGTAGTAGTAAGAGGAGGTGTGGGGAGAGAGAGGAGGAGGTGGAGGTAGTAGTAGTAGTAGTAGTAGTAAAGGTAGTAGTAGTAGTAGTAGTAGTAGTAGTAGTAGTAGTAGTAGTAGTAGTAGTAGTAGTAAAGGTAGTATTAGTAAGAGGAGGTGGGGGGGAGAGGAGGAGGTGGAGGGAAGAAGGAGCAGTAGTAGCATCATCAGTAGCAGTACAGCTTATTCGTAGCCATAGTAGTAGTAGTCAACCAACTCACTAATTCCAAAGACACGAAGCAAAGTACATACATCAATCAATGAGCGGTGGTCAACAAACTCAAATAAATTTTTTTAAAAAGATATATGTCATATGTTTTTAATGAAAGCAAAGACCATAGCTTCATCTTGTATAAGTTGTCTCCCCTACAGATATCAGAACATCCCATGATTGGTGTCTTGTACAAAGACTCTCTGACACGTTCCCTGCTCACAGTTTTATAACTTAGGGTCGACTTGTATTTCTTCTGAATATGAAACAAATAATAATTAAAAAATAAAAGTTAAGACGAATGGTCCTTATAGTTAAACCTGTAATAGTAGACTGTTCTGCAGAATTGGCACAATTATGATTATGATGATAAAGAAGGATTGTTTGAGTTAGCTGTGAATTCACAAAGGATCCTCACAGTGAAGGAGGTAGACTGGCATGCTGCATGATACAACACCAATGCTTAGCACCAGCCGGGGCTCCAGATACCGTTGAAGTTGACAGGGTTAGATCGCGGGTCAGAGGGTGGGTCCATCGCAGGCACCCGAGTCCCATTCTTCATCGCCAGCATCTGCAGCAGGAAGTTGACGAGGTTTGGGTTGTCCTTGGAGATGTCCTGGTGCTCCGTGGGGTCGGCGCTGATGTTGTACAGCATGACGTTGGGGAGGGGAGAGTCGTCCATGACGGGGGGGACGTCTAAGTCAGACCCAGCCGGAGGGTACCATCCTGAGTAACCAGGGTCTCCAACGATCAACTTCAGGTCTCCCCACCTGAGAGCTGCAGCATAGTGGTCGTCGTAGATGTTGTAGACAAATTCCTTCCTGACGCTGCCACCTCCATTGAGGATCATGTCGACCTGACTCAACCCGTCTATGTCCAGCTGGCTGGAGTCTCCCCCCGCTATGTCCATTAACGTGGGGTACCAGTCCACGGCGTGGAACAGACCAGGATGTGTGTAGCCTGTCTTCTTCAGCAGAGTCTTGCTGTAGACGAAACCCGCTCCCCTGGTGCCTCCCTCCCACAGTGTGGCTTTCCCGCCCCTCAGTGGCCAGTTATTTGCGCCTTGACTAGGAGGCCCACCATTGTCTGTTGTAAACACAAGAAGTAGGTTGTCCATGATGAATGTGGCTGTATCGGTTTGAATATTTGGTCGGTACCTGCAGTGGTTCATGTACAGCTTGGAACGGCAGGTAGAGATACATCGGCTTGGATTTGTCATGATTCATTATGATATCAATGGCTCTCTTCGCAAACACGTATGTGGAGTATTCCCCTTTGGCGCCCTTGTACACATCTGTCATGTTCCTGAAGTCATAACCATAGTAATCAGCCACCTCGTCCCTGACATGTGTGAAGTAGTCCACTGTACCTGCATAGTAGCCCATGAAGGTGTCAAAGCCTCTGTAGGTGGGCGTGTACTTCAGGTTACAAAAGCCTAGGTGCCATTTGCCGACCATGTGGGTATCATAGCCGAGGGTCTTCAGCCTCTGTGGGATGGTGGTCAGGTCTGCTGGCATGTACTTGGGTTGCTCTATGAAGACCACACCATCCTGGAGCCCTGTGTGGTAGGGAAACTTGCCTGACATGAAGCAGTTTCTGGAGGGGGAACACAGTGGCTGGACATAGGAAGAGTTGAGGATGACGCCGCTTTGGGCGAGACGGTCAAGTGTCGGTGTCTGGATGTCGGGGTTGATCCAGCCGACGTCGTTCCAGCCAAGGTCATCGGCCACGATGAAGACGATGTGTGGTTTGTCTGCAGCAGTGCTGTGTTGAAGACATGTGACGGAGGCAACAAACAGGACACACAGCAAACTCATGTCTAAGAGTGTGTAGCCAGCTCAGTAAAACAGCTTTGTGTTTGTAACACAGTGTGTGTGAGTGTCAGATAGAGGTAAGCGTCGTTGCTTATCGTCCCCAGGCCAGCCCGAACTGAATACACCTGACTGGTCTAATTTTACGCAAATGTTGGTCACTGGAACATGCCTTGTCATACTTTATCAGTCACTGTACAACTGTGTGAGGGGAGAAGGGAAGGAGTGTACAGCCTGTATGTCGGCTTTGTCAAAGAATGGAATCAATGGAGTAGATTGCAGTACAATTATGAAGTCACAGACTTTAACAGGAAAAGAAATATATTCAACAATTGTTATTATTTGGTATTCCACATATTACAAAGCAAACATAGCGAAATTGCAATACATGAATTTTGAGTAGTACACACAGATTATAAAATTTATCGAATGAAGTAAATTGAAGTAGATCGGATATTCCCAAATTGTTATGCTGAAATACAGTGTTATTGTTTACATTTACATGCATTCGGCTACAGTGTATTGACATAGTCATTGTGTACATGTTTATGTGTACAATGACATATGTGTATATGTATGTGTGTTGTATAAATCAACATGGCTCAGGGTGGTGAAGATTGGGAGGTCAAGTCTGAAGTTTTGTCTGCTGAAGATGAAGTTAGGATATTAGCTTACTTGAAGGGCACAGGAAGGTATGACATTCATCAAGTTACAACCCAACCAAAACAGAAAAATTTGTTTACATCCAACCCAAGCCAGGGACATGCGTCCACACCTCCAGAGTACTCACCTTTCACTCCTGGTCCAGCAGTAAGTACGAACTCTTGATGTCACCAACAAACTTTCTCGACTTCACATTGGCCTGTATATCAGCATCCATTGAGGATATCTATATTTTCAGGTGAAGATTCTGGCAATAAAGGGGATTCATCCTTTGATACATCCACTGCCACTTTGATACATGACACCTCTCCTGCAGCCACTCTGACTCAGTTGTCATTGCGGAATTCCTCGGATTCACCAGGTGCTATCACCGCCTTGTACAGAACCTTGTCAGAATTTCTCGACACTTGATGGATATTTTGAATGGACAGCTTAAGCCAGATTAAAATTGGAAGTGGGAACAAGAACACCAACACGTCTTTGACACTTTGTTGGTCCAGATTAGAGTAGTTGCCTGTGCCAGTCGAGGGTGGAGGAAAAGTGGAAAAAAACTACACTGCCCATAACGGTATATTATACCCAAAAGACTATGTTATGGATCACTGATTTTGTGCCATAAGCGTGACGCCAATATGTTATCTCATTATATCGGGGGCACGGGTGGCCCAGTCGTCTTAGGCGCCGCGATTCACTGTTGCGGTGTATGTCCAAGATAGATCTACATGGGTTGATCCTCGAGTGCCAGTACACCCGGACTCAAGCGCTCGGACTAAAGTGGCAGTTTGGTGACAGTGATGCTGTTACATACATGGGTTGATCCTCGAGTGCCAGTACACCCGGACTCAAGCGCTCAGACTAAAGTAGCAGTTTGGTGACAGTGATGCTGTTACATACATGGGTTGATCCTCGAGTGCCAGTACACCCGGACTCAAGCGCTCGGACTAAAGGTGCAGTTTGGTGACAGTGATGCTGTTACATACATGGTTTGATACACCGCTACCTGTTGTTACGTCTCGCGGGGACTCTGGATGTATTCTAACAATTGTCCAGTATAACAAGAATATTTCAACCTAAATTTTCTGGTTCGAGCGTGGCTATTGTGGTGTACATTGACAATTTCCTTGTAATCGCAGAAACAAAATCAGAATGTGAAATAACAGCCTTAATACATCTTCCCGAGGCAAGAGAGTTAACTGACTTTAAAAGTCCAGTTTCCACCCTTGCCGAACTAGGCTGGTATTATGGAGTTACATTTTGGCTGGACTAACGAGTTTTTGCATAGTCCAATCAAAATCGCGCACTGAAATCGAAATCCGGTTCGTATACTGTCGTGCAGATTTCGGTCGATTGCAGGATTTGCAAAGCATGTGCACTGCCAACTCGTTGTCAGCCGATATTTTCCAAATCTTTTCATGTTTTTAATGAAGGTGCTCACGTGATTTGATGCATTTCGCGATGTAAGACCCGTTTTGTCACAATATAGATCTTGATTATCGAGCAGATCGTCCTGACTGGGCGCCACCATTTTGTGTGAAGCAAACGCAAGTGATACGAGAGGTGGAATCTGATTGGTCCATAGGAGAGGCTTAGAAGGGACATAACTGGTAATAGCCACTGGTGGCGCTACGATCGAGCCCAGTAATTCCAGCCTAGTTCGGCAAGGTTGGAAACTGGACTTTTAAAGTCAGTTAACTGTCTTCCCTCGGGAAGATGGCCTTAAAATGTGGAATTGTAAGTTTGGGTTCCACAATCAACGGGGACAGGTTTGTACCCCCAACGCAAAAGCTTGTATTTCTTGGTATAGAGGTTAAAAAGCGTCATGGGAACTTTAACCTCTCCTCGTGATAAGCTACGAGGGTTGAAAACATGTCTACCTTGTCAACATAAGAAAAAAGAATAAAGTGTCAATTGATTGGATTGATTGATAGGTGAGCTCAACTGGTCAGGACGTGCCATCCGTGAATGGCGTACATTCCCACGTGTCTTAATTGACCTATGTAACAGTGTCCATAGAAACATCCACATGTCTATATCATTACGGCAGTGAAAGCAGACATTCTTTGGTGGGTAGATTTGGGTGACTATTTGAATGGGACAACTTATGTGTGCAGTTAAATGCGCAGTTGTCTCCTCGCAGGAATTGCTTTAATGATGCGTACAATATGGCGGCGTGTATCAAAATGACTGGGTCCATACCACCCAGCAGGTGGATCATGAAGCTATACCTGATATGTATATTAATACCAACCAACATGCAGTGGTGGGCGTGGTGGGGGAGCATTGGAGTCACACAGGGTCAGATCAATATGTCGTAGCCTACCTATACAGATGTTACCGGACGCTCTAACTCCACCTTGTGGTGCACACTATTAGGCCCGCTACAATTATTCAGTTCGCACAACGAGTACTCTCCATCTCTCTACCCGAGGTGACTGCCTCCCTCCGTGGTCTAGTGGTAGAGCTTCCGACCGGAGAGCGGAAGGTCCGGGGTTCGTACCTAAAAGACGTTGAAATATGGACTGTTCGGCTTGGAGTCAGTATACTGTGTCCGAGTGTGTAATTCATGTTAAACTGTGACATGATATCTCAGTGGGTTAGGCCTATAAAATCGGCCTAATTCGAGACACACAAACACACCTGCGTGCACGTCGCTGTATAGGTGTAATAGTCTTGGAAGCGACGTTAACCCCATTTCACCTCACTTCCCTTGTTGACAGCAAACATCAATCAGTAAACTGTAACTTACGACACGTTTTTAAAGGCACTGAAAAGTGTGCTTCAAGTATATGGCTACTGTCCGCCCGTGTATCGTGGACACTCACTCCATGCGGGCGGCTGCTCTTTTGCCCTTAGCTTAAGGCTTTCCCCGCGGATTATTAAAGTGCACGGTGGCCGGAAATCTAGTGCCTTTAAAAGGCATAAGCATCAATAGTGATGTTCATCAGAAGTTTACAAGAGCGATGGTGCCAGAGAACAGCATTGTATAGGACTAAGACCCCAGGTGTTGGGGGTTGTTTGAGGTTATTGTTTAAACACTAGAGTTATTGTCGACAATACACTGGTACCCTTGCCCCTCCTACAGGGCCCAATAAACCTTGTTGACAATGACAACCTTCGGCAAATAGGGACCTAAATATCGTGAGCAGCCTCCTGCCAATTGTGATAATGACTTAAATTATTATGGATGCTGTCATATCATATGCCAAAACATGGGTCAAAAGAGAACCTGTTGAATGTCTGTCAGAGTGGGCTAAGTCAGTGTGTGATGTTGTCATTGGTAGAATTCACAAACTGAAAAAGAGGAAACAGAAATGGAACAAACCAATGCTGTCCCAGCCAGCTGTCATCCAAAGTCAGGCCGCCCCACATGGGGCTTTTGTTACAAGCCGTGGTGACCATGGATACAGATACATATCTATGTTCAGAGGTTCAGGCAATTGTCAAAATGAAAGCAAATGCCATCTGAAGTTTACTGACAAAACAATGTATGAAATGCTGGACGTAATTGATAACATCTATGTAAATTGTTGTGGTTAGACAAGACGTAAACATTCACATGAGCACCACTTGTGCCCCCTTCTTGCGTATATGTTTCTTTATGCATATGAATTGGAATTTCTGCTTGGATTGAAAAAGTAAAAAGAAGGTAATTTGGCCAAGATGTTTAACTTAAGCTTCAGCTATATCAATGATCCAATATCGTTCAATTATCATCTAATAGCCAATTCCCTTCCACCCTGTGTGTGT